AAAATAGAGGCAGTGCAATCTGATTAAAATGACATTGAATTTGACATTTAACAACATGGGTTTTTGAGCCCCAGTTTTCTCATCTGTAAAATGAAGACTGGAAACTGTCTCACAATGTGGTTAGAAGTAAATAAAATTATGACTTTGGTAAGGGCTTTATAAACTCTAATATGCTGTAGAAATAATATATATTGGGTCTTTTTATCCTAGAATATGACATGTCTAGGATGCCATAGAAAGTGGTAGTGTAATGTCTTTTATACTGTTCAGAAGACATTTTAACATGTTGTGGTGTTGTCTCTGGGGTTACCATAATAGTAAGAATATTATCTGAATACTTAAGGTATTTAATTGTATTCAATATCATAGGCATTTAAAGTTCAGTAGATATGGCTGAGAAAGCACTGACTATCTGATACCTTTAGAGTTACATTAAAAAATGAATCCCAGCTGGGTGCAGTGGCTCATACATGAAATCCCGGTACTTTAGGAGGCTGAGGGAGAGGACTGCTTGAGCCCAGAAGCTTGAGACCAGCTTGGGCAACATAGCAAGGCTCTGTCTCTACAAAAAAATTAATATCTGTCAAAATTAATGGAGAAACACTGTGGAATTTTCTACTATGTTCATGTATAAGACAAGGAGGCCCTCTACCTCGACTGCCATCTGTCACATTGAGGGTACTAGAAGAAAAAAAGGGGTACAGATAAAAACTATCTGCATTTTCAAGTAGTATGATTATATATTTGGGAAAAAAACAGGTTAGGCACAGTGGTTCACACCTGTAATCCCAGAACTTTGGGAGGCCGATGTGGGTGAATCACTTGAGGTCAGGAATGTGAGACCACCCTGGCCAACATGGTGAAAACACCATCTCTACTAAAAATATAAAAATTAGCTGGGCGTGGTGGCACATGCCTGTAATCCCAGCTACTTAGGAGGCCAAGGCAGGAGAATGACTTGAAACTGGGAGGCAGAGGTTGCAGCAAGCCTAGATCATGCCACTGTACTCCAGCCTGGGCGACAGGGCAAGACTCTGTCTCAGACAAAAAAAAAAAAAAAAAAAAAAAAAGGAAAAGGAAAAGAAAAAAACAAAGTTAATAGAGAAATTATTATAAACAATAAGAGAACTTAAAAATAGTAGTTTAAGAAAAAATGTGATGACCTTCATATATACAGACAATAGTCAGAAGTTCTAATAGGTACATAGAAAATAAGAGAAAAAACATTAAGCACTCCTGCAAAACACAGGAGACTTAAATGAATGAAAATACGCGCCACAGTCTAGGATAGGAAGACTCAATATTATAAAGAGAAAATTCTGCCTAATTCACAAGTTAAATGCAATCTCAATAAAATATTATCAAGTTTTGGGTTTTCTTTTTCTGGTATTAAATAAGTTGTTTATAAAGCTCAATGAAAAAAACAGGTAACACATCCAGGAAAACCTTTAAAAAGACAAGAAATACAGAGGTGGGTATGGCTTGCTCTACCAGGTATTAAAATATGCTACAAAATGTAACATACAAGATATTCTGCAAAATGAGGGTAAGAGGTAAAGAGACAGGAGTGGCAGCTAATCTTTTGAGAATATACCTTGTTTAGCAGTTTTAACTTTGGAACCATGTAAACCTTTAATATAAGATAAAATTAAATTTGAAAAAAAATCTAAAAATTGAAAACAAAGTAAAACAAATGAACCTGACTGTTCCAAGGGCTAGAGGTCTGACAAGGGAGAGGGATGATTTCAAGAGACATTAAAAGATGGCTCTGCTATGTAATAAAGAAAAGGACTGTAACATTAATTTAGTTTAAGAAAAATTCATTTCAGAAAGCAAAGATGCTATTAAACATTACTAAGTTCACATTAAAATAATTCAACAGGCAACCTGAAAAAAGTTTTTATTGACCAAATATGGGACAACTTAAGATTGCAAAGGAATTATAATAACTGAAATAGATAGAAACACTCAAATATCTCAAAAATGCATACATTTTTAATAATACTGGGGCATTTTTACCAGAAAACAGACCCTGAAATCTGATCAAGTTCCAAATACCCATTTATAAGAAACACAGAAAGTGAGAAATGCTATTGGGACAAACCAGCCTGATTTCTTCGCTAAGTAAATTACAAGGGGAACAAAATAGAGGGACTGAGAACAAACTGATTAAAGGAGGCTTCAGAGACATCTCAGTCAAATGCAGTGCTCAGACCTTGTTTAAACCTTCATTTAAAAACAAACGAATAGAAACAATTGTTTAATAAATGAGAGGCTCTGGCAAATATAAACAATGACAGGATATTTGATGGCATTAAGGAAGTATAGTGCTCTCAAGAAGAATGTTTTGTAGTTTTAATAGTGGAAAGATTTATTATCTGTTAGCAATACATACTGAAATATTTCTGCTGAGATGATACGGTGTTTGGGATAGGAACACAGTGTGACTTCATGGGCCCAGGCACTTTTGCTTTCATGGGCCCCTCAACACAACAGATTTTCATGAACTCTAAAAAGTTCATTGCTTTCTGATACAAGAAAAAAAAATTAGAATATTTTAGTTAATCTTACATGTCCATTCTCTTCTTCTGATTTAAAAAAAGAATTAAAACATTTTTATAGGTCCTTGAGGGTTTAACAAGGCTCCCAGGTGACTCTAATGTATAATAAGTTTGATGTACCATACCAGTAGTTCTTAACTGGGAGTGATTTTACCCTCCAGAGAACATTTGGCAATGTCTGAATACACTTTTGGTTGTTAGACTGACACAAGAAGCAGGGGTGTGTGTGTGTGTGTGTGTGTGTGTGTGTGTGATGGGGGTGGAATACTACTGGCATCTAGTAGCTAAGGTTGCAGTTAAGGATCCTACAATGCACAGGACAGCTCCCCAAAGCAAAATCCAAATGTCAATAGTGCATGTGTGGAGAAACCCTGATCTTTCCCTCCCCACTCCCTTTCTTCTTCCCTTCTTCTTTTCTTCTATTCTTCCTTTCTCTCGTTCTCTTTCCTCTATTGTCTCTCTGTCTGCCTGTCTGTCTGTCTGTCTATCGTCTATCTGCCTCCTTAGCTCCCACGTATTTCTCTACAGGTATCAGAGCACTCAAAAAGCCACCAAGTGTTCCTTTTTGCATTTTTATTTGTTCAATTACAGATGACTCTCTCCTTTTATCTATTTAATAACTCCTCATAAAAAGTTGATATATAGCTAAAAGAACTATTATTTCTGGCCCCAAAAGGGTTAATTATCTCCATGGCAATAGGAGGGTGCTATCGAATTGTAGGTAATAACTGCCATCCTATGCCTGAAGTTACAGCTCTTGGCCATTCTGCATAGGAGCTTCCACATGAAGGACCAAATAGCCTGGAATCTTGATTTTGGCTTGAAAGTTTCCAGTGGGGTTGAGGCTTGAAAATATTTTGGTTTTTACAGGAGATATCAGGTACAACTCTGAGTTGCTTCTCAAGAACATGCAAGTGAACATGTCTGCTAAGAGTTCAACTGCAAACCTCATATATAATGGGTTTAAGCAAAGACATATAAAGCCAGCTTAAAGAGCTTGGGATTAGCCAATCAGATGGGATTCTAACCTGACTGATCATATCAATGAATCAAAAAATGATATCTGTCAGAAGGTTTGTGGGGCAAAAGTAGTGAGGAAAATGTAAAGCTACTAAGGCAAACATCATCAGTGCCCAGCTAACACTTTCCAGGGGATTGGTTGCCCAGAAAAGTCAACGTGAATGTTTAGTCTGCCTGATGGACCATTACTTCTACACTGGAGGCACTCCTGGTTTTCAGAGTCTGAAGTCATTAACTGTCTCGGTTATCCAGCTGTGATTCAGGCAATCACAGCAACCTTCTGATGACTGTCTTCTCTGTGGTTTGCCCACAAGAAAATGCCCTGGTGAAGCTGATATGACTGCCAAGTCTGCTTGATAGTTGTGTTTTTCACTGAATATTCATCAAGTGGCCTTTTAGCTTATAGGCACCAGTCGCCGGTAAATTTGCTTAGTTATCCTTAATTGGTTGAATCAACTCTGGGCCACTGACAACACAGAACTTCTAGACTTTCAAGGTAGAGGAAAGGCCAGAACATGGACTATAAAAAACATCTCCTGCAGTCTGCTTCTGGCATTCAGCCTATTGTCTTCCTTTGATTATTCTGAATATGTATTTTCTTCCAACTTTTACATTCCCAAGGTGCCCAAAAAGCCTTTGTGATAAACAGAAAAAGTGGCCACCATACTTTGCAGCTTCTCTCAGAGACATGCAGTCTATCTCCTCTCCCTTTAAATCTGCGATGACCGTGTGACTGCGGAGGAAGTGACCTATGTGAGTCCTAAGCCTAGGCTGTAAAGAGGTCTTATGGGGTTCCAGTCCTGCATTCTTTAAACCCTAAGATTCACTGTGTGTGTAAGTCCAAGCTGGCCTGCTGGATGATGATAGCCATATGGCCCCACCCCTCCTCTCATTCCAGATGACAGCCAGCCAACCCCTAGAAGAACCACTCTGCTCTTGTAGAGTAGCTGACCACAAATGCTTGAGAAGGTCCAGGCAAGACCAACAGAAGAACTACCTAGATTAGTTCAGACCAACTTGCCAGTACTCAGAATCATAAGCTAAATAAATGCTTCTTGTTTTAAGCAACTAAACTTTGCATTATTCGGCTATGCAATAGTAGATAATTGATATGACACTATTTTCATTTGTATAAGTCTCAATTATACCTTGAACTTACTGCCATAGTTTTGTCTTTCAGAAGACACAGGTTTTGCTCCTTGACATATGCAGTTGGAATTTATTTTGGACTTTCATATAAGCTTCAATGGCTCCAGCAGAAGAACTAGCCCTAGTTTCTTCCATTAAGATGGTAAAAGATGAGAGGGTTGGGTACATTGTAAAGAAAATTTGGGATTTGTCAATATTATTTTGAAAAGGAAGAGGAGGATTAAGTGCATTTTTTAAAAAAATCACATTTTTTGGACACAGATTTCTGACCTTTAGCCGGCGGTCTGGGTCTCCGCTGCATAGAGAATTTACGGATACTTTGAATGATTTCCAGGCTGGGCTTAAGTTATTCATCACAACCTGGGAAAAGAAAGAGAGGAGTGGTGAGTGGGGGAGAAATGCTTGACATTTTCACATTTCCACATTAAAACTGCTTGAGGAAACCATTGTGATGCCTATGAAAAGAACAATAGCTTGGAAAAGGTGCCTTAATAAAAACCTGATGCAGTAAATCTTTTAAGGGTGCCCACTAAGCAGGTCATTATGAGCAGAACTCCTGTGGTCACTATCCTGGCTGTTGTTTCATGAATAATGCCAATAATATTTCCCAGTATGTGGATGCTGAGAATAATCCCTTCTTTATCAAAAGGGGATGAAATTAAGGAGGTAGGGTTGCCTCTGGCCATTGATAGAGGACTCTCAGTTCTGTAGGACTGTCAGTCTTATGGTACAAATTCTCTTCTTTTGGGGTCAGCAAAGGTAAAGACTCTTAGCAGGGGTGAAGGGTACAGCAAGACAATTCTGCTGCTAAATAATTGCATGGTCTGGTAATCTGTAACCTTGGGTCACATCAGATTGCAAGTCAAAAGAAGTTTCTATAATAAAAATCCCAGGACCATACTTATACCAGCTTATTTCCAACTCGATTAGAATATCCTGGAAAGGCAGGACAGAGCAGATCTTAAGATTATAAACTATGTCTATAACATAGGAAAACCCTTTTAAAACCACTTACTAACCACAAACCTGGCTAATACTAGCCTAAGAATCTATATTAGTCAAATCTTATCCTGCTATCCCTATGGTTTGAATAATTTAATTTGGTTCAGAATGTACGAGTAGTTGCTCTGTGCCTAGCATTGTACTGTGTACTTGAGGGCAGGGGTTCCCAAAGTGTGGTTCCTGGACCAGCAGGAGCTGTATCACCTGAAAACTTCTTAAAAACACAAATTTCTAGGCTCCACCCAGACCTACTGACAGACACTCTGGAGGTAGGCCTCCTAGGTGATTCTGAGGCACAAAGTTTCAGAACCACTGCTCTAGGAGATATACAAATAAAGTTAAATGGAATTCTGTCATATTGATTTTTCTACTTAGGAAGACTTTAGTTAGTGGAAGTCCTAGAGTTATTATTGTTATTATTTTTTGAGATGGATTTTCACTCTTGTTGCTCAGGCTGGAGTGCAATGGCATGATCTCGGCTCACTGCACCCTATGCCTCCTGGGTTCAAGCAATTCTCCTGCCTTAGCCTCTGAAGTAGCTAGGGTTACAGGCATGTGCCACCATACCCAGCTAATTTTGTAGTTTTAGTAGAGATGGGATTTCACCATGTTGGTCAGGCTGGTCTTGAATTCCTGACCTCAGGTGATCCATCCACTTCAGCCTCCCAAAGTGCTGGGATTACAGGTATGAGCCACTGCGCCCAGCCGGGATGTTGAATTTTATCAAATGCTTCTTCAGTATTAATTGAAATGAACATATGAGTTTTGTCCTTTATTCTGTTAATATGATGCCTCACATTGATTGATTTGCATATATTAAACCATCCTTGCATGCCTGGTATAAATCCCACTTGGTCATGATGCATGATCTTTTAAATGTGTTGAATTCAGTTTACCAGTATTTTGATGAGGATTTTTTTCCTCAATGTTCATCAGGGATATTGGCCTGTAGTTTTCTTTTTTGATGTATCTTTGTATGGTTTTGATATCAGGGCAATATTAGACTCATAGAATGAATTTGGAAGTATTCTTTCCTCCTTTCTTTTTTGAAATAGTTCAGGTAGGATTGGTATTAGTTCTTCTTTAAATGTGTGGTAGAATTCTTATCTTTTACCCTTTCTACACAAAATATTGGTAGTTTACACGCCACAATTACAGCATTATGATATTCTGTGTTTTTCTGTGTAGTTGATATTACCAGTGTATTTTGAACCTTCTGATAACTTCTTATTACTCATTAATGTTGTGTTGTTTCAGAATTAAAGAACTTCCTTTCTTAGTAATTGTAGGATAGTTCTGGTATTAACAAAATCCCTCAGCTTTTATTTGTCTAGGAAAGTATTTCTCCTTCATATTGAATAATTATTTTGCTGAATATGCTATTCTAAGATACAAGTCTTTTCCTTCAGCACTTTACATATGTTATACCACTCTCTAGGTTTTTACTGAGCATTCTGTGGTCAGATGTGTTAGAGCTGTATTGTGTGTAATTTTTCTTTTCTCTTGTTCCTTTTAAGATTCTTTTCTTTAGACCTTTGGGTTTGATTATTAGCTGTCTTGAAGTCATCTTATTTGGGTTATATCTGCTTGTTGTTCTATAACCTTCCTGTACTTGAATGTTGTTATCTTTCTCCAAGTTTAGGATGTTCTCTCTTCCTACCCCTTCGAATAAACTTTCCACCCTTATTTCTTTTTCTCCTTCTTCTTTATGGCTGACAACTCTTAGATTTGTCCTTTTCAGGCTATTTTCTTGATCCTGTAGACATGCTTCATTTTTTAAAATTCCTTTTTCTCTGATCTCTGATTGTATATTCTCAAATAGCCTATCTTCAGGCTCACTAATTCTTTCTTCTGCTAGACCAATTCTTCTGTTAAGAGACTCTGATGCCTTACTTAGTATGGCATTTGCATTTTTCAACTCCAGAACTTCCACTTGATTTCTTACAATTATTTCAATCACTTTGTTAAATTTATTTGATAGGATTCTGAATTCCTTCTCTGTGTTATCTTGAATTTCATTAAGTTTCCTCAAAATAGCTATTTTGAATTCTCTATCTGAAAGGTCACATACCTCTTTTGTCCCAAGATTGATCGCTGGTGCCTTATTTAGTTTGTTAAGGGTGTGTTTTTGTGGATGGTTTGCTGCTTGTAGGTATTCACCAGTATCTGGGCATTGAAGAGTTATATATGTATTATAGTCTTGGCAGTCTGGGCTTGTTTGTATTCATCCTTCTTGGGAAGGCTTTCCAGGTAATCAAAGGGATTTGGGTGTTGTGGGGTGTTTTTGGTCACTGTGACTGTATCTGCATTAGGGGGCATCCCAAGCCCAGTGATGCTGAGCCCTTTCAGACTTATAGAGGTACAATGGCGGTCTTGGATAAGAACTGGAAGAATTCCCTGGATTACCAGGTGGAAATCCTTCTCCTCTTCCTTTACTTTCTCCCAAACAAATGGAGTCTCTCTGTAATAAGCTGCCTGGAGTTAAAGACACAAGCACCCCTGTGGCTGCCACTACTGGACTGTGCTGGGTCAGATGTGAAGCTTGCACAGCACTGAGTCTCACCCAAGGCCTGAGGTAACCACTGCTTGGTTACCACCTATGTTGACTCAAGGTACTCTACAGTCAGGAGGTGGCAGTACCAGCCAGGCTGTGTTCTTCCTTTCAGAGTAGTGAGTTCCTCCCAGTCCTAGGCAGGTCCAGAAATGCCATCTGGGCACCAGGGCTTGGAGTCGAAAACCTTAGAACTCCACCTCATGCTCTATTCTACTGTGCTTCAGCTAGCACCCAAGCCATAAGACAAAGTTTTTCCCACTCTTCCCTCCCCTTTCCACAAGCAGAGGAGCTTCTCCCTTGGCCACCACCACCCTAGGACCACAGCAAGTACTGCCTGCCTACCACCAATGTTCACTCAAGGCCCAAATATTCTTTAGTCAGTCTGTGGTAAGTGCTGCCAGGCCTAGGACTCTCTCTTTAGGGAAAAGGACTCCCCTCTCACCCAAAGGAAGTCCAGAAGTTCTATCCAAGAGCCAAAGCCTGTAATCAGGGATCCCAAGAGCCCAACTGCTGCTCTACCTCACTGTGGCTGAGCTGGTACCTAAGTTGCAAAACAAAACCCCCTTTACTCCTCCGTGTCCTTTGCTCAAGCAGAAAGAATATCTCCAGTAACCACCATAGCTGGGAATGCACTGTATCACATCTAAAGCCAGCATGTCTCTGTGTCTTACCCAAGGCCTGGCGAGTACTGCCTGGCTACAATTGCTGATTATTTGTGGCTCAGGAGATTTTTATTGAGCAGGTAATGGATCCTGCTTCCCTTCAAGGCAGTAGGCTTCCTTCCGGCCCAGAGTTTATTTAGAAATGTCATCTGGGAGCTAGGGCCTGGAATGGACCTCAGGACTCTGTCTGGTGCCTTATTCTATTGTGGCTAAGATGGTATCCAAGGTGCAAGACGAAGTTCTCTTTACACTTTCCTCTCCTCTCCGCAAGTGGGAGGAAGGAGTGGAGTGCCTCCTGGACCTGTATGCTGCACTGCCTGGCATGTGGGATATGCATTCCCTGGTGGTGGGGCAGGCATTCCCTTGGTGACTTTGCCTGGTGTCTCACTAGGTTCCAAGCCCACTGGCTATGCGCCCAGCAAAGCACCAGTACTTGCCCAGAAACTGCAGTATGTGGGGCTCAGACTGCCTTTCAGCTTTATTTAGGACCCCAAAGTCCTTCAGCCTGCAGTGTCAAGGCTTGCCAGAATTCAGGTTTCTGCTACTGAGATGGGTGATTCCCTCTGGCTAGGACTGGTTTAAATTCTTCCTGTATGGGCACAGGATGAGTTATGCCCAGTATTGCTTTCTGCTGAGATGAGGCAGCACTGAGTTCCAGTGCAAGGTCTCATAATCACTGCACAGTCTCTTCCCCAAGCACACAGATTCTCTATCTTCACCATGCAGCCACTGCCAAGGGGATGAGGGAGAAGTGGTTAAGCAATTCAAGACTATCTTTCCTATGGCCTTCAGTGCCTCTTTCGGTGATATGATGTTAAAACCAAGTACTGGCTTATTTACCTGATGTTTGGTTCTTATGAAGGTGCTTTTTGTGTGTGTGGAGAGTTGTTTAATTTGGTGTTCCTATGGGGAGGATGATTACAGGATGATTAGTGGAGGCTTCTATTTGGCCATCTTGCTCCACTTCCCTCAAAATAAGTTTGTTTCATCTAAGGAAACGTAATGGGTGAAAAACTCCTTTTGGTGGTGGTGATGAGATGACACTCAGGGCAACTGTGCTAGCTGCACCTCAATTTATTCTTCAGAGATTAAGTTCCAAAGAATTACACTGTTCTGTAGCATGGAATAGACATTCTGTTTATATTGAACACAATTTGTTAATTCTTTCATTAAACATATTTTATTTATTTTCAGTCAAATTTTTTCTTAAAAAAAAGCAGATAAACATTACAATTCTATAATTTAAATATGCACTTGACAATGAAGCATATCTGAGTATGGAGTGACAAAGGTTTTCCAAAAAACCATCAACTATATGATCTCCAAATACCCAAATAACAAATCACTTCTGCAGGCCTTCTGTTAAGTGGAATCATAAACAAAGAACTGAAGATTTATTGCTGTGAAAACAAATCTGTGGTACAGTAGTATGAATCTTAGGTATTAAGCATAATCAGGTGGGTCAAGAAGTTGAAAATGGGATAAGAAATTTGTGTGTGTGTATGTGCACTCATAAATCTGTAAGCCAGTTGACCCAAGAGCAACTGAAACATCTGACTTGTTCAATTGAGACCGGACATTATGTTAAATTCTGAAGGCAATTAAAAATTACAAATCCAAATTTCAGCCCAGAACCCAAACAAACAAAAAAATACTGTGGAGAGAAATTAAAACTATATTCAAAGAGTCCTTTTTTTTTTTTCAGCTCAATTTCAACACCCCGAGGAAAATAAAAGCGTCCATGACTATCACAGATGAAAACAAAATGAATGTCATAGGAATCAGTTATTTTTCCCCACTGAGGTATAAAATCTATATAGAAATTTGATACTACACTATAACAAATTTTACTTCTCATAGTTCTGTTTTAACTTCCTTTAAACCCTGTTTAATTTGTTGTTGTTGTAAAAATCTTGTTTTTGTGGTTCTGCATCTGGTTCCAGTTCCTTTATTTCAATATCAATATTTAATATACTGGCTACCAGTTCTAATCAGGAAAGAAAATCTTGGAAATCTCTTCATCATGACAGCACATTCAGCAGAAATTACTGATGTGCAAGCAAACCATAAAAGGTACAGTTCTCCAGAAAGCATATTTTGTTGATTTTTTTCATTGTCTCAATATTCTTTAGCATGATTCTTTTAATCTTGTAAACATCAGTGTGCACAGTCTCATTACTATGCAGTTTCACGTCAGTGGACAGGAAGGCTGGTTCACAGCTAGTGAAAAGCTAGAGAAGTTTAAGTTTTAATGGCTGATAAACCTTACATCCTGCAGAGGAAGAAAGCACTTTTCCTTTTTTGCTACTTAAGAATGTGGCAGAAATGTATGCTGAGGTAGCCCAGTCAATCCTTATTTCTTTTTTTGTTTTTTGTAAATTTTGTCTCAGAATATTTCTGGCAGGGTGACATTTCAAAGAAGCCACTGCTGGGACCGACTTCCATTGCAGTCTCTAATGCTGGGCACCTGGCTATCCTCTTCTGTGGCTTTACCTAGGTACTGATTACTGTTCACATGCTGCAGGGTTAATTTCACTGGGTCATACTTCCACAGTTGGTTGCCTTTTAGGGGGTGGCATTTGAGCATTGTAACTGGGCCATTAAGTTTGGAGACATCCAAGCAAAGGTCATCTGTTCTAATTTCTTTGTTGGCAATGTAAGAGAAAACCTGATTACCCCCCATAGCATGGCAATTAAAAATTCCAACTTTTTCTTTCTCTTTTCTGGTCATGTTATCTAGACACTGATTTGTTTCCACGTTTCATATCTCTCCCAATGAGAAATAGTGACATGGAATTTGAGAATCAGGGTAAATATTTTCTAGGTACCAATAAAAAGGTTTGCATTGTAGTTTGTGTCTTAGACCAACTCTTGATGATATATCTCCATAATCTACCTTTGCAACACCTGGAGAAATTATATAGAAGAAATTCTTGAATTCATCCATCCACACTTCTGCAAGTCGTCTGTTATTTTTATTGATAATCTGCCCTGTACCTCCTGGAAACGTGTAAGGTGTAGCTTTCCGAAACACATGTCCAACATGTGAGCATGTAGCAATTTCCAAAGTTCCTCCACACTGCCAAATCCTAAAGGAAATTTCTAGGTTTTCTCCTCCCCAAATATCCATTCTAGCATCATATGTTCCAATTTCCTGAAAGTAATCTCTGTCTATTGAAAAAAAGGCCTCCTGCCATGGTAGGTGTTCTGACAGGAAGAGTCTGATCACCTTTCCTTCTGTCCATTTCTCTTTGGGTAACAGGATACCAGCAAAAATTGAGCTTCCAGTTGAACCCGCCATAGGTTATATCAGAGCCTGCCATGTACTCAAAAGTATCATCACTGATCACATCGATGATAGGACACCCATTGTTTTCCTGTCATGTTTGATCCTGGCCAAGAGAGGTTCCAGCCATCCCATTGTACGCTCACAATGAGCACCCAGGAAGGTGATCACTTGGCCTTTAGAAACTGCAGCTCCTTTTAATCTAGTTCTGGTCAATCCAGAACATTGTTCCATTTGAATTACATGAACTGGTACTTTCAGTTTTTTCACATAACTCTCTGAAGACCTTTTCAAAAAGTCTCTTTCACTGGCATCACCTACTAGAACAATTTCTTCTATCATGTGTCTTGGTGAGCAATTAATGACACTATGGACAGTTTGCAGAAGTGTGCTCCAAGCCTCATTGTGGAAAACAATCACCACACCTGTTGTAGGAAGATTATCTGGCTATACCTTTGTTTTACACCCTTCTAACCTAACATCTGGTAAAGATCTATTGAGTGCAATCATCTCACTTGCCATTAAATTGAACTGATTGATTTTAAATATCTCTTTCATCTTTTCTTGATCCTCTTTAGGAATGACGACTGGTTTCCCCATTTCTCCAGGACCTTCATGAGGCTTTTGTACTGGCTCTAGACCATCCCCAGCAGGAAGTCCTCTCTCCTTTTTTTCATCACATTTGTTGCATTCACTGAAGTAAAGCAGCAGAAACATATCCAAGAGTACGCAAATCAAGGAGGTGGTTAGGACCACCTTGCAGTATGCAAATTTTCTCATGGCACTTTAAGTCAAATGCAAAATTAAAAAAATATATATATAAATATATATACACAAAGATAATGAAAATTATTCCAATCCAGTTTCATCAGAAATCACGTTCATACCCCAAAAGTGGTTTCTCAAATGAATTCATATCCCAAATCCACGTCTCACATCTCACAATAAATGGATGTATGATTTAGACCAGGGCTGTTCAACTGTAGCAGAGAACCACATTTAGCTATGAACACTTGAAATGTGGCTAGTGTGACTGAGGAGTTGAATTTTTAAATTTTAATTTTAATAGCCACAGGTGGTTAGTAGTTACCACGCTGCACAGTCCAGGTCCAGACACAGATGTGATGTAAAGAGGACTGGACTAACAAGGTCTAGGTTTGAATTCCAACTCTGCTGCTCAGCTTGTGACCTGAAAAGTTGCAACTTCTTAGGGCCTTCACTTCTTCATCTCGCTCCGGCGTGCAGTAGCGTGGCAGTAGGTGCTCTTCGGGGCCGGCCCGGGCAGTCGCGGCACCGTCCCGCGGGCCGCAGCGCGGGCGCTTAAACACATTTTATTAGGTATCAACTTTGTATCAGATGATATTCACAACTGGCCCATCCAAGACTATCTAACTTTTGTCTACCATAACAAGGATGTGAAACATTCCCCTAACAACACCTGCAACTCTGTCACTTCCAGAAACTGGATTTCCAATGTGATGCTGTGGGAACATGGTAACTACTCCATCACCTTATGAAAGTCCTGGGGGTTTCTTCTTTTTTTACTCTGCAACTGGTATGCAAGCATAACTGGATCTTCTCTCAGCTCCAAGTCATTCAGCACAAATATACCACTTCCTCCTTATCAATGTACTTTACTACTACAGAATCCCTTTACAAGTAAAATAGAATGAAAAATGGAGATTGTGGTTAGTTGTTGAATGTGTGTGTGGTAGTGGGTAATAGGGTAATAAGAGATAAAGTTGGGGCTACTTGGAGAAAGAAGAGGAATAGTGTGAAGGAGATACAGATAGACCAAGTGGCTGCTAAGAAAGGTCAGGTATTCATATGGTAGGACTGACATCAGTCCAATGTATGTACTTTCTCTAGGGAGGCAGATTGACTTCCCAAATTACCCCGAAGTTGAGTCAAACAACCTCAACTGAAACCTCAGCTCCACCCTTTGCTAGTTTTGAGACCTGGGAAAGTGACTTAACCTCCTTAAAGTTCAGTTCCTTCAATGGTAAAATGAGGGTCATCATGATCATCATGATCATCATGTATAAGGAATTTTTGTGAAAAATAAAATGATGTATGTAAATAACAGTCTAATGCTTGGCACCTAGACATCCTAATTAAATGTTAGCTATTTATACTTTTACTATGAATAAAGTCAACAATATAAATTGGGGTTAGAAAGGCTCTTCTGACAACTAAATTGAGGATTAAATGTGAAAAAAAACACCAAGCTAAAAATAGCAGAACCCTCCTGAGGACATTGAAGACTTCAGGTCTAAGTGTGTATCTATAGCCATTAAAAAATAAAAGGAGTTTCTCAAAACAGGTCAATGTATCGTCTTAGGAGACAAGATGGCACAGCTGAAGGTGACTCTTTTTTTTTTTTTTTGCAAATTTTGTCTTATTTATTTATTTTTATTGCATTTCAGGTTTTGGGGTACATGTGCAGAACATGCAAGATAGTTGCATAGGTACACATGGCAGTGTGATTCGCTGCCTTCCTCCCCTTCACCCACATCTGGCATTTCTCCCCATGCTATCCCTCCCCATGAAGGTGACTCTTCTTACCTCAGTTCGATGCACCAGCTGCTGAGTTGCATCATCATTCATACGAAAAATTTCCAGAAATGGGTCAGATTTACTGAAGAAATCCTAAAATGCATAAACATCAATGAATTGTTTTTCCTCCTGCATTTGATCTAGTCCTGATCAATAAGGAATATTTAATCAACGGGAAAACGCTCTTGATTTCCTATTGTCCCTATGTGGAAGGGAGGCCATGCTTGTCCTCTCTTGCTGCCCAATTCCACCCAAACTCTCTTCTCTTTACCTGTGATGATGTGCCTCGCCCTTTCTTTCTTTGTTCCTCATCCCTGTGATCCAGCCTTGGCTAGAGTGAACTGCATCCTAATGCTAAGTTCTTTGTAAAGTCAGTACATGGTGAGTTGAAATTCAAAGTATCATTCAAAGATCAATTCAACTTCCAGTTCTTTGAAAAATCACTGTATCTGTTGTCTTAAATAGGTTCATTATAGTTACTGTAAAGCCTCTTGAATGACTACAATGTCTGGGTCACCTACAGGTCTGTTTTTATTATCTCTTTCTTGGTTCCACCTCTTGGTATGCTTATTAATTTTTTATTAAATAGTAGACAATGTGTAATGGAGATCATGAAGGTTTTTACATCAGTCTTTAGCTTCTAGCAAGTGATTAGAATGGGAGGAATCTCCTGAATCCAATTAGGATTCAGCTATTTAGAGGTTGAGTTTCTTCAAAGGACTTTAAAGCCCCAGTCATTTTCTGATTCCCTTTACTCCTTGGGTATAATCCTTAAAGGACCCTAACTGAAAACCTGCGTGTTCATGAGAGGTGCTTTTCCTTGACAAGTGTTCAATGTCATTTTTTATTTGTGAGACTCTCAAAGGCTCTGTTTATCTATTTCTTGGCTCCAGGTTTTTATTCAGTTTGTCTCTATGCTGCTTCTGCTAAGTGAAGGTCTTGAGATGATAAGCCACTCGGACTGTTGGACTACTTCTCTGACACATCTATGAGTCTTTATCCCTTGCTCTCTCAACAGCCCTGAACTTCAGTTTTTCTTCCCAGTCTCATGAGACCACCAAAAGCTTTGGTTCTACGAAGAAGCAGAACCAAAAGAAGTTCTGCTTCTTCGTAGCTTTTTTTCTCTAGACTTCCCAGCCTTTCTATCCACACTATTTTAGGAATCAGCCTTGAGGAATTCCATTGAGTGGAAAATCTGCACAGAATGTCTTAATCCCCTCCATGGGTTTCTCTTCTGCCCAGTTTCTTGACCCGTCAAATCTTCAGTGCCTCAGGACTCTCAAATACATGTCTCTGGTATCTTTTCTAGTGTTTTGTTTGTTTTAAGAGAGAGAATGATGTAAAATAAATAAATGCCTCATTGTTGGAAACGGAACCTATCTCTATCCCTTTCAAAAACTTGATTTTTACCCCAGTAGATTATAAAGTCTCAAAGAGGAAGAACTTTATTTTCCTTTATATTTCTACTATTTCCTCAATGTTTTCCATAGTGTCTAGATTTTAGTTGTACACAATGTTTATTGAATGAATACCTGATATAGAATAGGAGGTTATCTGAGCAGTAACCGTTTTCATCACATTTTTACTGTATATGTCACCAGGTAATTTTTTATTTTCAAAAATCTAGACTTTAGCAAAGCAGAATTAAGCCGATGTTAGTCTTAAAAAAGTCATTTTTTATTCCTAAAATTTAGCAAGCCAGAGTCAAACTCATTACTTTCCTTTGGTCTCTATTTCTAAATTTTTCCTTACTGTCAATGTCTTTACCAACCATCCCAGTCTTCAGCTCAGCAAAATATTTGTAGGGCATATACTTATCATAGAGCTTTTGTGCTTGATGTTAAGATATAAGGACAGATAGAACCTGATCTCAGTCTTCCAAAGTACCATATAGATTGCTGGTAAGAAAAGTATACAAATAAATATGATTCAGGTCTAGATATAAATGAGTGAATGAATGAATAAATGAATGAAGGTACAAGGAGTATTAAGGGAAAAGAGGAAGAGTTGATGAATTTTGAACAGACATAGAGGGGGATATCCCAAGTAATTTAATTAGACTGTAGCTTAAGGAAGCACAGGGGAGGAGTTGGCAACAATGCTGGCAAAGTTGGCTCCATCATGTAAAGGGTCTTCAATGCTCATTTGAAGTCTTTGCACTGGTCTGGAGAGGCAGGGGGGAAGCACTGAAGGATTTTGAGCAGAAAAGTAAAATATAGTTGGCTCTGTAGTGAAGAATGTCAGTCTAGAATCTTTGTAGGATGAAAGAGGAGATGAGAAGTGGGAATAACTATCTTACCCTTTGCTCTCCTCCCCACCCAACCAGGAACCAAACGCCACACTCTGCAACACCCAGAGTCTGGAACATCCCCTACTATTCTATTTTTGAAGGTTATCAGATTACCACAGCCTTCATCTTGTCAAGAACCCAGAATGGTGGCTTTCATCATCATCTTGCCCTTCAAACATTATCTATCCCTCAAAATGGCCCATTTCTCTTTCAGACACCCTTCTAGCTGATTCCCACCTCTATCCATTTACTCAAGACATTTGCCCTTTAGGCCTGCTTTTGCTTCTATAGGCTTCTTAAAAATCAAAACCTCTCTCTTCTCTGTTTCCCTATGGATGTGGGCTACATTAGCTTGTTCCTATGTGCCCTTGGGCTCCTCTTGTAACTTCATGCTTTGTCTCTTTAAATAGATTGTTGGTCCCTCAGGGGATGTTCTTATGATTCTAATTGCTAACTACAATGTAAGAACTTTCTCATTTTTTTCCTTTTTACTGATAATTTAAAACTTTTGTTACCATCACTTTTATTTAAAAGTGAAAAATACAGAAAAAGAGATTACAAAAATAAAAAGAAGGAAAAAAGCCATCAATAGTATTTTGGTAAATCTTTTTCTAGACTCTAAATATACTTTTCTTTCTTTTAAAAAATGTGGTAATCATGATCTATATACAATTTAGAACTCTATTTCTTTTGCTTGTATATTTATTTGTTACATATTACAATGCTTTTTCTATTTTATTTCACATTCTTTTTAAATACCATGAATGAATTAAGCAAAACGTTATTGTCAGGAGGGCATGTAATAAAGTCAAAGAAAGAAAGGTCAGGTACAGTCTCTGTCTACAAGTAACTGAAAATCTATATGCAGCACACTGGCTTTAGCATTGCATTCAGAGCTCAACTCTACCATATATAATCTGAATAACTGTGAACAAAATATTTAATTTCTCCAGGGTTTAGTTTGCCATTCATAATGGAAGGGGTATCACCCTTTGCCTCATAGGGACATAGGAGAATTAGAGGTGCTGGTGCATGGGAAATGTTGAGTCCAGTGTCTGATACATGGTGAGGAAAAATGTTAGCTGCAAAAATCCTCAACAAAATACCAGCAACCCAAATCCAGTGGCATAACACAATTTAATCTATCACAATGAAGTATGCTTTATTCCTGGGAAGCAAGGTTGGTTCAACATACACATATCAAAACCCATATGATCATCTCAGTAGATGTAGAAAAAAAGGTTTTGATAAAATCCAACATCCCTTCATGATAAAAACCCTCAACAAACTAGGCAGTGAAAGGATATACCTGAAAATAATAAGTGCCATTTATGACAAACCAATAGCCAGGAGCAAAAGCTTGGCTTTTGGTTTGTCATAGATGGCACTTATTATTTTTTTGCCAGTACTTAAAGGGCAAAAGCTTGAAGCATTCTGCTTAAGAGCAGGAACAAGACAAGCATGTTGACTCTCATCATTCCTATTCAATATAGTACCACAAGTCCTTGCCAGTGCACCCAGGCAGGAGAAAGAAATAAAAGGCATCCAAATAGGAAAAGAAGTCCAATCATCTTTCATTGCTGATGATATCATTCTATGCCTAGAAAACCCTAAAGACTATGCCAAAAGATTCCTAGAACTGACCTTCAGCAAAGTTTGAGAATGCAAAGTCAATGTACAAAAGTCAGTAGCATTTCTGTGCAAGGTGAGAGCTCCATCAAGAACACAATCCCATTTACAATACTACAAAAAAATGAAATGTCTAGGAATACATCTAACCAAATAAGTAAAAGATCTCTGCAAGGAGAACTACAAAACTCTGGTGAAAGAAATCATAAATGACACAAACAAATGGAAAAACATTCCACGCTCATGGATCGGAAGAATCAATATCGTTAAAATGGCCATACTGCCCAAAGCAATCTACGGATTCAATGCTATTTATATCAAGCTACAAACATCATTTTTCACTGAATTAGAAAAAGCAATGTAAAATTCATATGAAACAAAAAAAGCCTGAATCGACAAAGTAATCCTAAACAGAAGGAACAAAGCCAGAGGCATCACATTACCCAACTTCAAACTACACTATAAGAATGCAATAACCAAAGCGGCATGGTACTGGTACAAAAACAGACACCTAAGACCATGGGACAGGATAGAGAACCCAGAAATAAAGCCACATACCTACTGCCATCTCATCTTCAACAAAGTTGACAAAAATAAGAAATGAAGAAAGGGCTCCCTGCTCAATAAATAATGCTGAGATAACTGGCTAGCAATATGCAGAAGAATGAAACTGGACCCTTACATTTTACCATACACAAAATTTAATTTAAGATTGAATAAAGCTTAAAGTATAACACCTCAAACTATAAAAATCCTAGAAAAGAACCTATGAAATATCCTTCTGGATGTTGGCCTTGGCAAATAATTTATGGTTAAGTACTCAAAAGCAACAAAAACAAATTGCAACAACAACAACAAAAAATACTGACAAGTAGGACCTAATTAAACTAAGGAGCTTCTGCACAGTTAAAAAAAAACAAAGCAATTATTAACAGAGTAAACAGGTGGTCTATAGAATGAGAGAAAATATTACCCAAAGATCTAATATTCAGAATCTAAAAGGAACATAAACAATTCAACAAGCAGAAAAATAAATAAATAACCCAATTAAAAATTGGGCAAAGGACATGAGCAGACACTTCTCAAAAGACAACATACCAGTGGTGAATGTACATATGAACAAATGTTCAGTGTCACTGATTGTGAGAGAAATGCAAAATCAAAACCACAATGA